AAATTATCCTATTTACTAATATTTCTAAAACTATCTAATCAATTATAAATTAATAAATATCTAACTTTTCAAGCTCCCATGCTATTAAACTCTAAGGCTTTGGAGGCGATGAGATTTCTCCTTTGGGTCTCTCTTCGATTGAGGAGCCCTATCCCTTCGCTATTGCATACAACTATTCCCTCTTGTTTCACTTCCTTCTCTCTAGTTTCTATTTTGCTTTGTTCTTGGCTTTTGTTTGCTCTATTTTTGGCATTCTAAAACATGGGAATGACTAGCCAAGTGTTGTGCTATTTACTGGTTGTAGCTCTAGGTTTTGTTGGCTACAGGGGTTGAGGTTTTTTCACCTTTGTGCTATTGGTTGCCAGTGTTGATAAGAATGGTAGATGAAGAAATCAGCTCCATGCTCAATCGTGTTCATCTTACAGAAGATAAGGAAGGCATCTTTCCCTTATATTCGACCTGGAAACCTGAAGACTCCAAGGTTGAAAAGTTGAGTTTAGTGGGGAAGATCCTTTGCCAAAAAAGGATCAATTTTAATGGTCTCCATAATGCTTTAATGGTCTCATGGAATCCTAGGAAGGCTTTTACAATTTCTGAGATTGGGGAAAAAATCTATCTGTTTCAATTCTTTGATATTGGAGATCTTAGCAAAGCCCTACATAGAGGACCTTAATTGGAATTTTAGCATTTCACTGCTTATTCTTAAATGTTTCCAAGCCTCTTTATTAGTTAAGCAGTATAATTTTTCTACAAATCTATTTTGGATCTAAATTTTTGATGTCCCGGTTGGTATGCAGTCAGAGCAAATTGGTTTCATGATTGGGAATTATTTGGGGAAGGTTCTAGAGTTGGATGAAAGTTTTCATAAGGCTATTAGAGTTAGAATTGATTTGGAAGTGAATAGGCCATTAGGAAGATTTAAAACTTCTTAGATTTTTGCTATGGAATGCAAGAAACTTCAGATCAAATACGAAAGACTTCCAGAGTTCTATTTTGTTCGTGGATGCATGGGCCATCTTTAAAATAGTTGTGAAGTTGCAAATTGTATCAAAGATGGTGGGGACAAAATTGTTCATTGATATGAATCATGATTAAAAGTTGAATTGGAACACATATGGTGCCCAAATGATCTTGATCTTTTAGATGAAACCTTCTTTGCAAATATGCATTTTCTAGTTGGAGAAAAGACTAAAGGGAACAAGGAGCATTATAAAACTGTAGCTAATGGAGCAAGCTAAATAGAAGGGCACAAGGATACTATTGCTAGAGATCTATAAGCAGACAATGTTGTGACCATCAGTGCAAGACAAATGGGAAGGAACAATGCTATTGATATGGGAGAAATTATAGTTGAAATGGCTCAGCCTCCTAATACTACTATAAGACAAATGGCTTTGGCAAGGAATGTGGAAAACATTGGTGTTATGTCGGCTTTAATGAGTGATCAATTAGTGGAGATACCTTTAGCCCTTGGATTTGGTGGTGTGAAATAGTCAACAAGTCAAGGAAATGGTGCAAAAGGAGGGAGGGGCAAACGGAAAAGAGTAGGATGTGAATTGGAGTCCTTGATGCATTTGGACAAACTTACTTAAGGAAAAAGAAAAAGTAGTACAACAATTTTGGAGGAGCAATAGGCTAACAAGGTGATCTTAAATAATACAAGGGTGGCTATGATTCCTAAGGAGGTAGATGGCACTGCTTTGATCATGCAGACGAATAATTTCCATCCATCTGTTGATTAAAAATTAATTGTGAATAGACGGAGCATTATAATGCTAGGAGACACTACATCATGAAGTCCACTGATGTCCTATGCTAGGTTTGGTGGTAAAATAGATGTGATTGCTAGTAGTCTCAATAAACTCTAGTGTAATCTTTTTATGTTATTGTATAACTCTATTGATAGCCCTGTGACGTATACTAATATTTAGAAGTTCCCAATTTCTATTTATTTCTACTTGTATGGAATACTTAACTCTATATATTAGTATTAAAGGTTCATCCTAATTTATTTACATTCCTTGTTTTGGCTTATATGGCAAGGTATGATCTACATTGTAATTGTTATTCAATTATTAATGCAACTATATCTTCTATCAAAAAATTATAAATTAATAAATTTAATCAAATCTAATAAAAAGTTTACAATATATTTATATAAATTTAAATAAATATTTATATAACCATTATCATATCTCCTATTTCATCCACCACTATAAAAAGATATACAAATACAATTCTTGATGCCCAAAGTGGGACATGTTGTTGCCAGCAACATTTATTGGCAAAAACCTAGTTTTAGC